AAACCGGTTGCCGCACACTGTCCGGTGATCAATTTGTCCCGTCGTGAGATTGCTTGCGACCAGGCCACCACAATGCGGGCATGTGTACTGATGCGTTTTCTTTTCTTGGACTGTTCCATTCCGGACGCAAAACCGGTTGCCGCACACTGTCCAGTGATCAATTTGTCCCGTCATGACATTGCTGGCGACCAGGCCCCCACAATGCGGGCATGTGTACTCATGCTGTTGCTGTTCTTTGACTTTTCCAGCACTGACGTTAAACCGGTTGCCGCACACTGTCCGGTGATCAATTTGTCCCGTCATGACATTGCTGGCGACCAGGCCCCCACAATGCGGGCATGTGTACTCATGCTTTTGCTGTTCTTGGACTCTTCCATCACTGACGTTAAACCGGTTGCCGCACACTGTCCGGTGATCAATTTGTCCCGTCATGACATTGCTGGCGACCAGGCCCCCACAATGCGGGCATGTGTACTTATGCTTTTGCTGTTCTTTGATTCTTCCATCACTGACGTTAAACCGGTTGCCGCACACTGTCCGGTGATCAATTTGGCCCGTCGTGACATTGCTGGCGACCAGGCCACCACAATGCGGGCATGCGTACTCATGCTGTTTCTTTGCTTGGACTTCACGGTACAACTTCTCGTCGCTGGCCGGCGTCTCCGTCTTGCGTTTCTTTTGTGTCCTTTCTGTTGTTTCTCCTTGTCTCGCCGTAATCTCGGCCCATGTCTCCGCCACCAGCCTCCGGCGACGCTCGAGCTCGGACCCGCTGGCCGTAGCATCGGCGGGGAGCGCCGGCAATCGATCGTGGACACGGTTCTGTGCGGCGCGGGCGCGGAGGCGCGCGAGTCTATGATTGGCGCGGCCGGCATAGCGACAGGCCACTTGCAAAGCTTTGCAACCGTTACACATTTGCCGGCCATCCTGCCCCGCAGTTCGTTTGGCCAGCCACGTGCTAAACTGGGAGGGTTCTTTACGTACGTAACAAGTGTGGCACTGCCACCAACCGCGTTGCTTGCGTGCACATGCGCGACAAACTCTTCGGTCCATATGGCGCGCTTTCCAGGCTGCCGCGCCAAAGGCAGTTTCCGCTTGCCGCACGCCGCAGTTGGCGCAGTCTTTGCGCACCTCGCATGTCAGGCACACGCGATAATACGTACACAGTGGTCGATGGTACTTCTTCGGGAAATTTGCCTCTGCGTGCCAGACTTTACAATTATTACACTGCCATGGGGTGCCAGACGTGGCTTTGTCTTGGACGCATGCTCGACAGACACGTTCGTCATCGTTGCGTTTCCATTGGCCTCTGGTATAGGCGTCTTTTTGTTTGCGTTCTCGGCAGATGCAGCATCCGCGCTCTTCGCAGTACGCGTCCAGCAGCGCGCGCCAATTCACACTTTCCCCACGGAGTACTCGCAGGAGCAGCTCACGACCGATACCGACCCCGCGCTGGAAGAGCTTCGCGTGAAATGGCCGAAACAGCAGAAGTTTGTCTCGGCCTGGCACCCGTGTGAAGGCAACATATGCTGTGAAAGGGTTTCCGCTCAGGCCAATGTTTAGGTCCGTTGTGATCGTGGCTGTGGTTGCGTTTGTGCTTGAGTTCGTGGTTCGTTTGTTTGTGCTTCTGTATCGTGGCTCTCCTTCGTTGGTTCTGTACTCTGTTTTGTTTTTGTGGCTGCATGTTGTGCGTTTTGGCTGGCGGTTGAACACGACGCGCACGAGGAGGAGGACGAAGCGGAGGAGAAGGAGAAGAAAGGCAGCTCGCATAAAATCTAACAACCCTCACCTGACAGGTACGCCAAAAGACTCCTCCACCCGAACAAGTCTACGATTCGTCGCCGGTACCAACCCCAAGGAACTCAGTTGAGTCTAGTTCACCTTCGTGACCTTACGTGGGTTTCATGTCATCTGGAAATGGAGTAAATAAGACAGTGCTTGTGCAGCACGTCCCACTTATTCAGCGGGCGTCTTATTTACTCCATTTCCAGATGACATGAAACCACGACCCTTCTCCCCCTCGCTGGGGTCGGCGGCACGGGGCGTAGCCCTTACAATATCCTTGCAAAGACTGACCATTCAAAATGACTCACACAAAATAGTTCATTCTAGTTTGCGTTTTTGTCTCCATATAGATTCAGGGCCTAGGCGAGCACAACACAGTTTACCAAAAGCGAATGACACCTTACAAAAATAGACCATGAAACGTGGGACGTTGCAAAAGGAGGACCTGTTCTTAATCGCAAGTTTAACATATTCTATTTGGAGGAAACTCTTGGAGGAACAAATGATCAAACAAATGGGAATGAACACACTTGTTTGAGGAATATTTCCTTGCAGGATGATGGGACTCTTTCAGCAAAGGGGGCAACTTGAGGAAATTTGTATGATAACTAGCAAGGGGTTGAGGAACTCCCTATTGTTTAATGGGCGGATACCGATACCTTCAATTCCTTAGCTCCCTCCTGAGCAAGAACCACAAAAATATGACAAGGGAGGGGTTGGATTAGATTGGATACTTTGGTGAGGGAGTCTATGTGCTGGGGACAACACATGTTTGTCAAAGGTAAGGCTTTTCAGACGATGAACGGCACGTGTTGACAACTTTGTCGAAAGGGTTGGGGGACGAAGGGTTGGAATGGCAGGGCATTTTCTTCGAAGAATGAGTTTGCTTTTGGAAATGATGGATGAGTGAAGAATCAACAAGAATCATTGTACAAAATAAAACCCAAATGACAAGTGCGAATCGCGAAACTCACAAACGTAGGCATTTTTGAGCTGAACGGGTTAGCCTTGATCCTCTAGACTCCATAAGCCCAGAAACTTCAAGATCCCGAAGCCTACCGAACAGACTCTTAGAATCTCTTAGACCTTTTCTAAAACCACTGGTTTCTATGTATGGTTTTAGCAATTCATGTCACAACCACTGCTTTAGGCATCGCGAAATAGGAAAAATGGTTTTAGCAGCAACAAATTCCCCACATGAAGTGGTTTGTGAGCAGAAAGTGCGTGCTCAAATCAGGCCGTTGCACAAAAACAAAGGTATCACCAGTTGCCCTGGAACGTTGCCGGGTTTGTCATTGTCGTGCAGCATAAACTGTTGAACGAAACGGACATCCATTACACAGCCACACCTGGTGACACTGACGCCGCTAGACGGATATACTTGAAGGTTTTGTAGACACTGGGTAGCTATGCATGTCAGCCCCTGCTTGCCAGGAGTTTCTGAAGTCGTTGCAGTGGCTTCGCAGCCACGTCGACCAAAGCAGGTCAAACACATGGGGTAACTTCGCCAGCGGCAATGGTTCTCCCTGACCCATGCACTTTGGCAAGCACATGGGCGAGTTGAACTTGTTCCTTCCAAAATCACAAACTACTGTACAAAGTTGTCTGTCAAGTTGCATAGCAGCGTCCATCAGCTCTGGGCTGAGTGTTTGTAGTGTCACCAGTACATGCTGGGTCGCAGCTTAGGTGGGCGCTAGCCAGCTATGAGCTTCAAAGGTCACCTGCACACTGGGCCAAATCTTCACGCTTGGCTTCTGTCTTACTAGTAGGTTCTTGTTCCTAGACTTCCTGGCAAGTTTCACCTTGGGATTACCCGTTCCCTAAAGAGCCATGCGAGCAGAACTCAGTTCAGCGCCTATCCAAGCACGAGGCCGGCTAAGCCACTTACAATCTTACATACTCGGCGACTAGCGGACTCAAGCGCGCATGCAAGCCGGCTGGCGGAGTCCAAGTTAGGCAGATTTCAGGAATTTTACCATCCTGCTGGCATGCCAGTCTGCTTTTGGATCTGACATTCTTGTCTGCAAGAAGACCCGACCAACTGGAACCATTGCTCACGTAAAACATGTAAATCAGGCTGCAGGAAAACATGGCCAGTCTCTTGCCAGGATTTGGAGAAGACCCGCAACGGTCAACCTGCAGTATCATTGTCATTGGATATTCTACTTCTGAGCCAAAATATACGATGCACATGCCAGATCATAAACCCAATTCTATAAACGATGTAGACAAACTGGGACGTTCTGTTGCTCCCGCTCTTTAGCACGTGAACCCAAAGTCGCCTCCCGAGCTAAAAGCAACTTGAGGCCAGAGGGGGTGAACGAAAGCTAGCCGGGCGGGGAGGCGTGCAGCGGCGGCAGCAGAAGCAAACCACCAAGCAGAAGCAGCAGCAGCAGCAGCAGCAGCAGCAAACCAAGTTGTTCATGCTAGACATGACGTGCTGCCTCCAAATCGGTTCAGAACGAGTGCTAAATTTAGAACTCGTTTTGCACGCTTTCGCGCTGTTTTTTCTTCTACATGGCCAACTCAAAAAAGAAGCAGCAGCAGCATCAGCAGCAGAGCACCAAGCAGCAGCAGCAGATGCCCACCCGCTCACCGCGCGCAGGGGAGAGTTGAACCTCCGAAGGGGGTGTCGGTAACACTGACTTAATCAATTATTTCAGGTTTTCTCAGGCGCGTCCACCCCGTCATTTAACTTGCTAAAGCAAGAGCAACTTCAGCTAGCTGAGGCTAGCTTTCGTGACAAATGGGAAATGCAACAGGAAGCAGTGGCCTGCCCTTCCGAGGATTGTCAATCTCCATGACCTTTGGAGGACTGCACTGTACACATGTTTTGCGATACAAATAATCGGAAGCTGATGGTTGATAGCTGTGAGGTTGGTCCAATTCCATATTACAGCCAAGAACGAAAACGACGAATGTGACCTGGACTGGAAGCACATATATATATATACTTATATGTATATTATGTGTATATATATATGTATATATATATAGAGGCTCAAGTGATTGGCTTCCAAGTTCTTTGCCGGCTGAAATCGCGGGCGAGCATGAACTGAACGAGCCTTTTCTTCCTGCACAGCAAACCAGCACCAAAACAGTGTCAAGGTCTGATTCAATGGTGGAGAATCAACATGCACGATTCATTGCCTGCCACACATCTCGTTCATGATTTGCCAGGATCATCTTTGTGGAATGCGCCTGGCCAGTGAACATGCTAGTACTCCGCCTAGTGCGGCATCATCCCCACCTGGAACCCGCAGAAGCTGCTGTACTTGAGACCGCTCACCAAAGAACCATCTAAAGTACCACCAATGTCGATAAGAGTGGTGGCGTGATCGCAGTCCTGCCAAACACTTTACCGCAGAACGTACAGCTGTCCATGCTTTGCCACACCCCACCCTCTGTGCTGCAAGCCTAGAATCCTACAGAATCGTATAGAATCCAAGATCCCACAATAAGGATGTTGTCATATATTAATTGTCACACAAAGCACATGATACACGGCAATACAAGTTCGGTCCATGACGGCGGTGACTACCACATTGTGAGGCACTCCCAACAAGACCTTTGCCATCGACAGCCAACAGGTGTTAGAGTTCACAAGTGCATTCCACGCAACATCAAACCCTCATACCATCCTAATAAATTTCTTAATTAGATAATTATTGACAGTGCTATGCTGCATTGCTGTTTCATGGCTGGACCCACGTCCACGTCGTTTCTCACATAGGACATAGGACGACATGAGGTACTCTTGTCAGTCTTGAGTACGAGAAAACCATTCCAAAAAACACGTTGCAACACAGGCAGGGCCAGTGACCACTTCTTGCCAATCAAGCTGGATGGCAGGGACTGCAACAAGACACGTTGCTCAAACATGAAGCGCGTGTGTTAGGTGAATTGGAAGTCGGGCTACAACAGGTATGGTAAGGCAAAGGAGGCGGAAAGTGACAACAAGTGAAGCAAACTCGAAAGTTATATAAGAGATATACAAAACACTATACTTGGAAATGCTGAGATGTTCAAGGTGACATTTTTGTGGAATGATGGAGAAAATGGCGTGCTGAAAATAGGTGAGCCCAATGGAGTTGAGTGCTATGAAGTGCCAAAGGTGGTGAGGCACCAAGCTGGATGGCGTGGACTTCAGGCGGCTTGATTCAACTTGTGGATGACACACACACACACAAAACGAGAAGACACTAGTTGAAATCCATCGAGCGGTTCACATGTGTGCAGCAACAGCTGCCCTTTGCACTCAAAGCATTCAGGAAAAGATTAGCGGCCGAGCGTTTTTTCGTTGAGGGTTCGCCATAGGTTGCTGGCTTGATCATCAGGTTATTGAGCCCAAGCTTCCACTGAGGGCTTGGGAATGCAGGGCATTCAACAACACCGTCGCCGCAAGGCGACACAAGAAGAGCTGTGCCAAGGTCAAAAGGAAATGGAGGCAGCTCAACGAAGGCTGCATCGTGAGCATCAAGAGAGTTCGGAACTTCCTTAGAAGATATGAAGGAGGGAGAGTCCAAGACGAAAGGGAAAGACAGGGCTAGTGCCGAAGGTTCACTGGCTTTAGTTAGAGTCGGCACCTCAAGGAACCCCCTCGACTGCACTCCAGACCACCGAAGACAGCCAAGGAAATCTGAGGCCACACCTGCATCCAAGACATCGCATGCAGTGAGGACTCCGCTACGGGCACCAGCCGCCATCACCTGGAGACCCAGGTCCAGAAGGAGTGGAAGCGGAAGTGAAGACACCTGAAAACCAAGGATCGAGGCGAGATTCGCAAGACTTGAAGGGAAGGGTGGAAAGGGTAGAAGTGTTTCGGAGATCGAAGCTGAAGAGCAAGCTGGATCGACAGGCCCGGTTGTGGTTTCGATGTCGACACCGCCAGAACACCATGTCCCTTTGTTCACTCAAGAGCAAGTGCAAGGTTTGCACATGATGTCTCAACAGGCTCCACTTCTATATCCAGCTTTCCAAACACCTATGACAGTCACAGGACCGCCCTTCCTCGAACAAGAAGAAAAGGAAAGCCTGCGAAGACTGAGGCTGGAAGATGCTGGTGAAGAAGAAAGAAGGGCCTTGGAAGAAAGAGCGAGACTGGAAAGGACTGAGCGTGAAGAGATGTCCCGACAGCTGCAGTATCTCATTATGGAGAATAGAAGGCTGAAGGACCAGGCCTTTGGAGTGATGGCCATGGAAAGGAAGAAAGAAGAACAAGAAGAGTTGAGAAATCGCCTAATCCAAGCGATTCTTGAGGAGAATAGGTTGCTCAAAGACAACCTTCAACGGTTGGTGGCCCAAGATCCGAAAGAAGATGAAGGGCTGTTCAAGACCCCGAATGGCAGTTCAGGTCATGACGAAGATCCTGGACGAACCAGTCAAGGAAGGCCACGTGAAGAAGTTCATGAAGAAGAAGAACGACCAGGCCATTCCGGGAAGAGAACCGGAGGTCGAAAGAAAGAGACGCAAAGTGCAAATGGGATGCCTCCACAAACAGTAGATGTCATCCTAAAGTTGCTCCAAGGCATGCAAGATCTTCAGAAGAAGTTGGTCAAGGGGCACACCAGAGATGATCATGGAGGTGAAGAAGGATCTCCGCAACTCGTCCAACGAGGTGTTGAGTTGCCGAAGCTGCCGGAGTGGTCTCCTGAGACTGGGCCAATTGATTTCTCAGATTGGCTCCTGGTCATCCAACCTATGATGGGAGATCCGAGCAGTAGCTCTGAAGAATGGTGGCAGGCGATGGTTGAAGCTGAACGCAAGTGGTACAATGACCACATGGGGAAGATGCCATTAGATCGTCTCCAACTGAAGTGCCACCTGGCTTGCAGTTGAAGAAGTGGTCAAGACTTGAGCGGCGAGCATCGTCACTATTGCTGGCTGCTCTTCCTGAAGGACTTTGAGAAGAAGTGGTGTCCTCCCGGAGCTTGACAACACTGGGCATCTTGACAAAGGGGATGACTCAGTACCAACCGGGCGGCTTGGCTGAGAAATCCGCCATCCTGGCGGCATGCCTGAAGCTGGCACCATTGCTCAGGGAGTCACAACATTGCGGCGATGGCTTAGGTGGAAGCGGCGAGCTGAAGAACTGGGAGTTTCGATCCCAGATGCCACGATCCTGGTGAAGGGACTGGGACGCCTCATGAAGAAGTTGAGCGGCATCCATGCAGACCTGAACTTCAGGCTTCAGCTGACCCGCAATCAGCTCATGGTGGACACGATTCCACCTCAGGAGTCGGTGACCAAATACTCCCATCACCTTCTGGCAGAGTTGGAAACGATGGGACATCAGGCTAGGAAGAAAGAAGCACTTCCTGAAGCCCCGAAGATCAAGAAGTTCGAAGAGCAGTCGAAAGAGGTGAAGACCAAGGAAGTGCGAGAAGGAGAGAGTAAGGAGAAGGGAAAGTGCGGCCGCTTCTACCTCACTGATGCCGGTTGACGAGGCAAGCAGTGCACCTTTTCGCATGACCAAAGAGATGAACGAAAAAGATGCTGGAATTGCGGTGGAACTGACCATATGGCTCCAGCATGTAGTCGACCGAAGGAAGGAAAAAATGGCGGTAAGCCAAAGATGTCCAAAGCAGAGAAGACCAAGGACACCAAGGATGAAGTGAAGGAAGAAGATGGAAGCGGCCGGTCGCTACCAAGCATGAAGGACCTTTTGGAAGAGGCCAACAAGGTGTTGAAGTCATTGAACTCGTCCCCATCGTCCTCGACTACCTCTCCGACTGCAGCCGAAGGCGATGAAAGACAAGAGGTCGTGGAGCGGCTTCAACGACAGCTCAACTCCCTCAAGCAGAAGGCCTTTCGGCTGATGAGAATGAAACAAGGAGGACAGACTGGATTGCTTGACAGCGGGGCTACTCACCCGTTGCGCCCAGCAAAACAGGGGGAGAATGTGGCTCTCTATGACAAGGTCGAAGTGGCATTGGCTGATGGCCAAACTACCTGGTTGCCAATTTCACCAGGTGGATGCATGATCACAGAAGACCAAGGAATTGAGCCCATCCTGCCCATGGGTTTCATCACAAAGGAATTGGGATGCTCTGTTCGCTGGACACAAGGGCACTTGGAAGTGGAACATCCAGCACGCGGACTGTTGGCTGTGGAAGAGAAGGACGGATGTCCTCAAATCGCCCGCAAAGAGGCATTGGAGTTGATCGATAGGAATAATGTTCAAGAAAGTTGACCAGTTCGAAGAAGAAGTGAAGTGGACGAAGGAGTTGGTTGAGACGCATCCAGTCCTGGCATCACTCCCTGAAGAGATAAGAAGGGAACTGGTCGTAGAGCCAGGCCCATGGAATGGGCTTCCAGTGAATCGAAGGAGAAGAACATGAAAAGGGATGGCTTTGTGGTTCACATGTACGCTGGACCAGATGAAGGCTTTACGCTGAGTCGTGCCTGGCAGCAGCTTGGAGGAAAGGAAGATGAGCTGTTGGAGTTGGATCTTCAGAGAGGCCCAAGTCATGACCTCCTCAAGAATGGAGGTATCTATTCCACGTTGCTCACGGCCATCCTAGAAAACAAGGTCAAGGCTCTGATCGGCGGACCAAACTGCAGGACTCTTTTTGCGCTTCGTCACTATCCAGTCCCTGGTCCGGAACCTCCAAGGCCTGTGCGGTGGAACGGAGAAGAGTTTGGAATCAAGGATGTGACACCAGAAGAGAAAGACAAGCTCTGGGAAGATGATGTGCTGCTGTGGATGGTGTTCCTTGGCATGGTAGCCAACTATCTTCGCCAGGCGAGAAAGGATCCAGAGCTGTTCGTCTTTTCTTTGGAACAGCCATCAAGTCCCAAAGCATACAAACCAGAAGTGGTATCATGGTGGGATACAGTATGCCGTAATGGAAGGCGCTGCAAGCTGGACCGAGTTGAGCTTTTCCCAACGGCCCTTAGGCGGTGCAGCGACGAAGCCAACCACTTTTGGAGGGAATCACCAGATGAGTCCCGATGATCATGGCCTCAAGGCACAAGATGGGTCTCATGGCAGCTTGCTCGCTGGCCTCCTGGACTGATGACGATGGTTGCATCCTCGTTGATGAAGCAGGTGATGAGAAGGCCACTGAAGCTGTGTGCCCTGTCGTGGGAGGAGCATATAGCCTTTGGACATGTCCCATCGAGAAAGGATTGCTGGATTTGTCAGGAGACCCTTCAACGGTGTCGACCTCATCGGAGAGTTCAAAACCCTCGAGCAGGAGTGCTTTCATTGGACACAGCAGGACCTCTGAAGCCTGCGTACGACCAAGGAGGACACCTCTCCCGGTATTTCTTGGTTGGAGCATTCACCTGGGCTATCCCAAAGGGAGCGAACACTCCGAATGAAGAGGGCCAAGAAGTAGAAGAAGAAGAAGATCTCCCGATGATTGAAGCCGAAGAAATGGAAGAAGAAGCCGTTCATGAAGAAGGAGGTGAGTCGGCAGAACCTGAAGAGAATGAAGAAGATATGGAACAGGAGGAGGGTGACATGGAACCAGGGGGAGGTGAAAGAGAAGAAGAAAAAGAAGAAGGTCAAAATGGCGTTGAAATCAAGACCTTCCACCTGGCCTTGCCTATGCTCTCCAAGAAGGCATTGGAGGTGACCAAGACGGCGATGGACATGATTCTTCGTTTGAGGATCGATGGCTACTGGGTGAACCATATTCACACCGATCAAGGCCACGAGTTCTCAGGACACTTCACGGCCTGGTGCAGGAGAAGAGGAAGACTCCGAAAGATGATGGATGAAGGAGGCCTGGATGACGAAGAAGAAGTGCTCCAGACTCCAGACCAAAATCATCCCAAAGAGGTGGCCAGAGAATGGGAAAAGTGGAAGGCATCAGCTGGCGAAGAGGTCCACCCCCTTCTCACCGAGAAGATGGCTCTCATTCCGATGGATGCGAACCAAGTGGACGCATTCATGAAGATGGCCAAAGAGAAGGGGCTGCAGGTTGAACTGATACCTTCGAAACTGGTCTTCTCAAAGAAAGCCGGAAAGCCGGTGAGATGGGTAGTGTGCGGGAACTATGAAACCCGCCAAGCTGATGAGATGAATTATTCAGGTGGAGCCGATGCATCTGCACGCAGGATCCTAGTGCTTTTGTCAGCTTGTCAGCACTATATATACTATATATTTCAATGGGACGCGGTCGGCATAATTGACGTGAATACTGCATTTTTTGAATGCAGACATGGTCACCAAGGAAGATGAACACCTGATGCTACTACTTCCACCAACGTTCTTTGTTGAACGAAAGTTCATGCCCAAGGATACCTACTACCTCTCACAGAAAGCTGTCTATGGACTCCGGAGGTCTCCAAGACTTTGGGCAGATCACCGGGACAGAACTATGGAAGGCTTCGAGGTGAAGAAAAAGAAATGACACTGCGTCTCAAGCCACTGGACTCAGAACCCAATCTGTGGAAGGCAGTCCGGGTGGATGATGATGATGATGATGATGATGATGATGATGATGATGATGATGAAGCGTTTGAGAAGCCCCAAGCTCTAGTGATGACGTATGTCAATGACATCCTGATCTGTGGACCTAAGAAGATCAAAGATGCCATCAGGTCCACCTTTGAGGAAACCTGGAGGACGTCAGGCCCTCACGAGATCAGCGATGGACCGGTGAAGTTCTTGGGCATGGAGATATCAAGGAGTCGAACTCCAGAGACAGGGCGATGGAGCTGGATGATTACCCAAGAATCCTCTGCCTCCGATCTTTTATAGTCAGAGCCTGGACCGCTGAAGCATCGAAAGATCCCCATCACAAAAGACCAGCGGCCATGGAAGGAGATGAATCACCGCCCTCACAGGCGGAAATCAAAGCTTCCCAAAAAGCCGTGGGAGAAATGTTATGGCTGGTGACGAGATCACGACCAGACATGATCTACGGCGTGTCTCGAATGGGATCGAACGTGCTCAAGGCTCCAAGGGCTGTTTTGGAAGCAGCTGCCCAGATGAAAGGCTACAGTACCTTGCTGCCACGAAGAATCAAGGCCTGAAGTATGAAGTGAATGAAGAAAAAGAGCTCATGATCAATGTCTACACAGACGCTTCTTTCGCTCCCAATGCAGAAGAATCACATGGCTGTTTTTTTTGTGATGGTGGGAGACCACCCAGTGTTCTGGCGATCAGGAAAACAGAGCACCGTGACCCTCTCCACTGCAGAAGCCGAAATGAACGAAGTGATTGAGGGTATGATTGCAGGGGAGTCGATCGGAGTCATCATGCACGAGATCGTCGGGTGTGGACAGTCAGACAGCTAATGGGGCATGTCAATCCTCACAGAAGGAGGATCATGGAGGACTCGACACCTGAGAACTCGTTCGACATTCGCCAGACAGGCGATTCAAGATAGAAGTTGGAGCATTGGTCACACCCCTGGAGAGGCCATGGTTGCCGACATGGGAACGAAGGCTCTGACATCGACCAGGCTTGAAGCGCTGAAGAAGATTGGCATGGATGGACGAGTAAAAAAGATGGCAGAGAAAGAACTCCAGAAGGAAGAAGTGGAAGCGAAGACCCAAGAGAAAGAAGATGAAATGAAGATGGAAGGAAGTTCAACAAACATCGATCGAGAAAAGGCTGTGAAGATCCTCAAAGTTCTCATCATAGCAGCATCGGTTAGTGCAGCATCCGCACAAGGCGAAGAGGATGATCCCGGTTGACGGTCGCGACTCTTTTGGCTTTCTACACGATGATGGTCACATCCCTTTTCTGGTGGGTTGTGAAGGAGGGAGTATTACGAAGGTGGTGCCCATCCCGAAGTGGATTGACCAGATCCACCCAAGTTGGAAGTCCTCCCACAACGCCACCAGGGAGAAGATCAAAGGGCATGAAAGCCAGAGATGAAGAAGATGATGGAAGAGGGGCTCGATCAGGAAGACTCCCAACAACACCAGAGATGTCAAGGCCAAGAGGCCTTCCAGCAGAAATTCCTTTGACTCCTCCTCAACACTTGATCCCTCCACTTCCAGGTCAGGGTTCATATCAAGAAGTGGTCATCAGTGGTCAGTGGAATGCCACTGTGAGCACCTCTCCAGTCTCCAGGGAGAATCCCAGTACCTGAAGATCAAGAGAGTCAGAGTCAAAGAAAGTGTCGAAGGATTAGATGAAAGAATCCTACAGCCTCCAGCTCACAAGCAGGAGGACCTCCAACTCAGATGCCGAAGGCACGTTCAATGCCACCGGCTGAATATACAGGGGAACCAATCCCCGCGACGAATCAAGATGAAGGACCATTGGTCTTGACGACCAAATTTGGGAAAGCCTTTCACTGCCGAGCAAATTGCGATTATTTGGTGGCCCGACACACTGGAGAGCGAAGGAGGGGACGATGGTGCTCCACCTGTGTTCGCTCAGTGGGAGGTCGACCCACGAAATTGACCTTGTGGGGTGGAACTCTCCACTCGAACATGGCCTGTCCAGACCTTGGAATTGACCGGCTCAGGTACACACCTTGCTCCAGGTGTACCCCTCATGGCCGGTGAATGAAGAGATCAAAAGTGAAATGAAGAAGTGCTGAAGAGTGGAAATGATATGAGAAGAAGAAAAGGGTGGTTTGAGCCTACGGAAGCTCAAGTTTTGAGAAAAAAGTGTTCAGTCAGTTCGATCTGACGATCAACTGAAGGGGGAGTGTGGATGACACACACACACACACACAAAACGAGAAGACACCAGTCGAAATCCATCGAGCGGTTCACATGTGTGCAGCAACAGCTGCCCTTTTGCACTCAAAGCATTCAGGAAAAGCTTAGCGGCCGAGCGTTTTTTCGTTGATAGGTTCGCCATAGGTTGCTGGCTTGATCATCACAACTAAACCAACTTTGTGAGGGGTGGATGGAGGCGAGCCCCCATGCAAAACAAAGGACATTGTGAAAGAAAGATAAACCATGGTAAACCATTCTGTTGAGCCAACGCAAGCGAAAGGAAGCGATCTATATAGTTAATCTATATAACTCAGGCTCAGCACTTGTGTAGTTACTGCTTCCAAAAGAAACACCAACCATGGTCAAAGCATAGCATAGAGGCAAAAGACCACAAAGGGGGCAAACCAAGGAATCGAACACGACAACAAGGACCCCGTTTACCGTTTACCGAACAAGACCGCGTGTTTCTGAGGACAGATGGGAAGAACACTGCCCTCATTGTAAAAAAGTAAGAGCTATTTTCAGTATCAGGATGTGTGGGTGAGAAGTGTACAGCAAACTTTGGAGCAACGACTTGATCATGCTTTATGCAAGAATCAGTCACACGCACACACACACACAAGTCAAGTACAGTGGTTGTCCAGTTATCCACCATCAGGAATCAAAGGAGTTCTGGCATGTGTTTCAAGCAACCATGCAACAAGGGATATTCACAACCCAAATAACATGACGACTGGTCATTTAGTGTTGGCAGAACGACGTCTATGACTTTACCGTATACCTACCAGTTTACCAGCCAGTTCTCAGTTCGTAGACTTCTTGATCGAATTAGTGCCGTCATACGAGCACCAGGCATCATGGAGGTCATTTGTGCAAATGACGCTGTAGTCGCCGTCTCTGCCATCAACAAAGTCGGTTGGCAGAATAGCTTCTTCATACCCTTCGTCTTGGTAGCCGTCCATGTCGTCAACCTCCACCGAGCAAGTGCGGACAGTCCGCTGTGAGACAAAGGTGCGAGACAAACTCTCATGACATCACTGCGCCTGCAGGCCATACCCGGAAAAAGAAAAGAACAGTACATCTCCAGGGCGTGTTTGCCGCACCATTTGCTGCAACCTCAATTCACTGCCGAATTCCAAGACTTGTCGGACTTCTCACAATTTCCAGGCTGGTCACTGGCCTCGTTTTCTAGTCTTTGGGATCTTCAGACATTTTGTTTTTCATTGCTGTTGTCAATTCTTTTTCCTCTCTCTTTCATCTCTCTCTCTCTCTCTCCCTTGGGGTCCTGCTGCTGTAGTATGTTGACTCGAGTTGGGCACTTTGCAGGTTCTACCTGTGAGAATTGCATGTGCGCGCTTGACCATTTTTGCAGGCATTCAAGACTCAACCTGTTGGTTGACTTGTGTCCGGCTTGGTGCCTTCAAGGACTTCTTCTGCCCAGGGTACACATCGTGCAAAACGCACACATTCTCGTGACAGAAGCCCATATGCACCTGACACTGCCCGCGTCACTCGCCAACAACAACGTCCTTGAACGCTGACTAGTTGATTGGATGGGTTGCGCGAGGGATAAGGCTTTCCTCCAGGTCTGCAATGACTGTCCAATAACCTGAAAAAAAACCTCAACCAAAGAAACGCCCAACCCACGAGCAAACCGGTTCAAAACGTGCTTGGGACTGTGGAGCACGTTCAGACTGCTCAGCAACTCAATATGCAACCCCCCCACCCATAGCTACCAAAGAGGCTCTCAGGCTGGCTGTGGCAACAAAAAAGGAAAAGGTTTCCTTGTTCAAGAGCCACAGGTCACCATGATCAGTAAAAACACCAGTACACCCAATTTCAGACAAGCTTGCAATCATACATACATACATACATACAGACAGACAGACAGACAGACACATACGTACATACATACATCCATGCATGCATTACATTGCATTGCATTGCATTGCATTACATTACATTACATTACATTACATACACTACATACATTCCATGCATGCATGCATACATACATACATACATACATATACATACATACAGCTGTGAGCGGTTCAAGGTGGCAAGCCCTCATAGAAGACCACCTAGTGCGGCACCCCATTGCACCACGTGTGCCCGGTGTTCCACTTCCCGATCACCGCCAAAGAGTCCTTCCAGGGTGAGCGTTCTTTGCTGACAATCCTCGTCTCCATCTTGGCCATTCCTGTTTTGCTCTACGGTGGCTGGCAGTTTATCACCAGGCCATCAAGCAGACCTATCTCAGGAACTATGGCGCCACAATGGGGACGAGCCTACATGGTGTGCTCCAAAACCACATGTGGGAACTGGATCTGGACCGACAAGGTCCGCAGTGGCACCAAGCGCCGCAAGTGCGGAAGCTGGTGGCCTGAACCTTCACACCACAATGGCAAGGGCAAGGGCTATGGCAAGCCAAGCAATCGCGCTACAAGCAATCAGGCATGGCTGGAATCCCCGCCTCAACTCACCAAGATCAGGCCACTCAAGAAATCCAAGGTTCAGCAGGAAGCAACCGACTCGTTGGCCAACAGCTGGACGGCGTTGTCCGAAGAGACATAGACGAAGCTACAGGCACTTGGCATTGGACCAGCCAAGCCAGAAGAACCGGCCTTGCAGGATCTTTTGAAGACCCACATGGACGCATTGCCACTTCAGGTACAAGAGATTGTGTCCAAGCTCACGGCACCCGAGCCCATCACCGAGAGAGAGATAGCTGGGAAATTGAAGGGGCAGGTGACAGAGCTCAAAAACATGTCCGTCAAGAACCAGCTCCAAGTCCGCATAGATGGGGTCAAGGCCCAATATGCCAATCTCTTGAACGAGATGCAAGAACTCCAAACCAAGCTGGCATGAAGGCCGTCAATCGCAACCCACCCTCCACGGAGCTCAACGAAGCATCAACAGAGCCGGGATCCCAATGGCGGTAAGAATCCTTTGTACACAGCCTGGGCATCTCCCTAACAGAGGAGCAGAAAACCCAACTCCACGGGCTTCTAAAGAGGTCGAACCAGGATCCTGAGGATCCAACCAAGCGGATGAAAACAGAAGCAGCCACGGCGCCCACGGCAGGACACTGTGGGTAACATTTACCCAAACGACTGCAAGTAGGGGTGGACCATTCCCGTCCCGGACGAGGATGACAGGACTTGGGACGACTCGGAAGGTCCTATGTGGGATGAGACAAATTTGGGGGAAGCTCCGGACAGAACATCACCAGCCGGGACAGCGCAACCACCAAAATGGGTTTGCCGTGCTGGATCAGGCTCAGATGATCTCAGACAGCCCTCAGATGACACAAGTGTTGGGGAACAAACACATGTTTCAAATGAGCTGACAATACCTTTTGGCTCCAATTCAGCCACCAAGGGTTGTTGCAGGGGACAAGCAACAACGCAACCAAGCATGTCACACGAACATGACAATTTTGACTTCTGAGCGCAACCACTTGAGCACCATCGACACCTCTCATGGCAATCGCCTGACGATCTCTGGAGGAGCACCGGATCAATCCAGCTCCACTTTTGACAGTGAGAGGAATAGCTCGACCATGAGCTCACACTACTATCTGATTTTGCAGAACCTCAGTATGGTGGTGGGAAATCCCAGCTCCAGATGCTACCTGGCGTGCATTCTGCTGGATGTGCGCCTATTTGGCGGAGTTCAACAGAGAACCATGGGGGGTCAAAGACGCAGTTCAAACATCCCTGGACCTCTCAGAACCGGCAGACAGTAGACATCCAACGGCTACCTGGGCTCCACAATTTGTGGCAAAAGCACAACCTCAACATGGAAGGAGATGCAGCACACTTTGTGCATTCCCTCTGGATACACTCCCAAACAAGAGTTACGGTTACTACAATAAAATATGCGGATTTTAAAATAGCCGAACAGGTATTTTAGTGTACCTCCGTGAAGGATATGCTGGGGCCGCCCAGCCATTAAAACATCCGGAAAAACACGCGGAAAAATACGTTTCCTAAATCATTTCACAAAATGGCCTTCACCGGGCCTTGGCCGGTTTTGACGTGGAGGCCTTCACCGGTCCTACGTGGAGGCCTTGGCGGGTCCCACATGGAGGCCTTCACCGGTCCTATGTGGAGGCCTTGGTCCCACGTGGAGGCCTTCACCAGTCCCACGTGCAGGCCTTGGCCGGTTTTACGTGGAGGCCTTGGCCGGTCTCACGGGGAGGCCTTGCCCGGTCCCACGTGGAGGCGTTCAGTCCTACTATGTGGAGGCCTTGGCCGGTTCCACGTGGAGGCCTTCACCAGTCCCACGCGGAGGCTTTGGCGGGTCCCACGTGGAAGCCTTCACTGGTCCCACGTGGAGGCCTTCACCAGTACCACGCGCAGGCCTTGGCCGGTCCCACGTGGAGGCCTTGGTTGGTCCCACGTGGAAGCCGTCACCGGTCCCACGTGATGCCTTCACCACGTGGAGGCCTGGGCTGGTCCCACGTGGAGGCCTTGGCCGGTCCCACGTGGAGGCACGTGGAGGCCTTCACCGGCCCCGCGTGGAGGCCTTGGCCGGTTCCTTGGCAGGTCCCACGTGGAGGCCTTGGCCAGTCCCAGGTGGAGGCCTTCACCAGTCCACGTGGGGTCTTCACCGGTCCCACGTGGAGGCCTTACATGGAGGCCTTGGCCTTGGCCGGTCCCACGTGGAGGCCTTGGCCGGTCCCACGTGGAGGCGTTCAGTCCTACTATGTGGAGGCCTTGGCCGGTTCCACGTGGAGGCCACCGGCCACGTGGAGGCCTTCAGTCCTACTATGTGGAGGCCTTGGCCGGCTCCACGTGGAGGCCTTCACCAGTCCCATGTGGAGGCCTTGGCGGGTCCCACGTGGAAGCCTTCACTGGTCCCACGTGGAGGCCTTCACCAGTACCACGTGGAGGCCTTGGCCGGTTCCACGTGGAGGACTTGGTTGGTCCCACGTGGAAGCCATCACTGGTCCCACGTGGAGGCCTTCACCACGTGGAGGCCTGGGCTGGTCCCACGTGGAGGCCTTGGCCTGTCCCATGTGGAGGCCTTGGCCGGTCCCACGTGGAGGCCTTCACCGGCCCCGCGTGGAGGCCTTGGCCGGTCCCTTGGCCTGTCCCACGTGGAGGCCTTGGCCAGTCCCACGTGGAGGCCTTCACCGGTCCCACGTGGAGGCCTTGGCCGGTCCCAGGTGGAGGCCTTCACCGGTCGGAGGCCTTGGCCGGTCCCACGTGGAGGCCTTCAGTCCTACTATGTGGAGGCCTTGGCCGGTTCCACGTGGAAGCCTTCACCAGGCCCACGTGGAGGCCTTGGCCGGTCCCACGTGGAGGCCTTCAGTCCTACTATGTGGAGGCCTTGGCCGGTCCCACGTGGAGGCCTTCACTGGTCCCACGTGGAGGCCTTCACCAGTCCCACGTGGAGGCCTTGCCCGGTCCCACGTGGAGACCTTGGTCGGTCGTGGAGGCCTTCAACGGTCCCACGTGGAGGCCTTCACCAGTCCCACGTGGAGGCCTTGCCCAGTCCCACGTGGAGGCCTTGGCCGGTCCCGCGTGGAGGCCTTCACCAGTCCCACGTGGAAGCCTTGGCCGGTCCCACGTGGTCTTCACTAGTCCCACGTGGAGGCCTTGGCCGGTCCCACGTGGAGGCCTTCACCTTCACCGGTCCCACGTGGAGGCCTAGGCCTTCACCAGTCCCACGTGGAGGTCTTCACCGGTCCCACGTGGAGGCCTTGGCCGGTCCACGTGGAGGCCTTGGCCGGTCCCACGTGGACGCCTTCACCGGTCCCTGGCTAGTCCCATGTGGAGGCCTTCACCAATCCCACGGGGAGGCCTCGGCCGGTCCCGTGTGGAGGCCTCCACCGGTCCCACGTGGAGGCCTTGGCCGGTCCCGCGTGGAGGCCTCCGTGGATGCTTGGCCGGTCCCACGTGGAGGCCTTGTCCGGTCCCACGTGGAGTGGAGGCCTTGGCCAGTCCCAGGTGGAGGCCGTCGCCAGTCCCACATGGAGGTCTTCACCGGTCCCACGTGGAGGCCTTCGCCGATCCCACGGAGGCCTTGGCCGGTCCCACGTGGAGGCCTTGGCCGCCTTGGTCGGTCCCACGTGGAGGCCTTCACCGGTCCCACGTGGAGGCCTTGGCCGGTCTTATGTGGAGGCCTTGGCCGGTCCCACGTGGAGGCCTTGGCCGGTACCTGGAGGCCTTCGCCGGTCCCACGTGGAGGCCTTCACCAGTCCCACGTGGAGGCCTTAGCCGGTCCCACGTGGAGGCCTTGGCCGGTCCCACGTGGAGGCCTTCGCTGCCCACGTGGAGGCCTTGGCCGGGTCCCACATGGAGGCCTTCACCGGTCCCACGTGGAGGTCTTGGCCGGTCCCAGGTGGAAGCCTTCACCAATCCCACGTGGAGGTCTTCACCGGCCCCACGTGGAGGCCTTGTCCGGTCCCACGTGGAGGCCTTCACCAGTCCCACGTGGAGGCCTTGGCCGGTCCCACGTGGAGGCCTTGGCCGGTCCCACG